AGGTTAGTAGTAGGCTGGATGATTTGTAATAGCCTAAACGATGAAAACCACAGGTAACCAAATCTAAAAGTTTTGATTTTAGCTGTCCGATTCTTCTCATTTAGATATAGAACATTAGAGAGCTTTCTATGAGAGCTGCAAACAGGCTCAATTTTTGATGACTTGATTTTATCTATGCTAGTCGATTGCGATGATACTATACGAATATATTGTTGATAAAAAGATTGCCACATGGTAGAACTCAGTGATCGCTTCAGAAACTCCTTATGACATCGGGAAAAGTTGATAAAGATAGATACTATGACTGAATAAAGCCACATAACGTCATTGCTTGTAAATATTCATCCAAATGAAAAGAGGTGCGCCTTCTATCTGACCCCAAAGTTATGAGTAATATCATGCATCAACCAAATCATGTAAGAAATGTAATATTTATTGAGTCATTTTTGAAGACTTATGCTTAGTGCTATTTGTAGCTATCACTATTTCTCGTAGTACACTGTCAGCACGATTCTATTACAAGTACTATATCTATCAATTACTCACATTATAATTTAGGCAAATTCACATACTAAACATTTCTAGCTGATTCTTAGTTGCTTGTTTGAGAACAGAAGTGAATCCAAGAAAAATCCTCTTTTATAATTGAAACAGTAGGTTTTAATCTATATTTATATATGCTATGATCAATGTTTAATCTGATTTATTGGTATGGTTATACACGTATAAGTGTCAATTGAGATAGCATTTATATAGAATCGAGGTGTTTAACAGAAATTGTAGTTAGATAAAATGCTAACTTAACACTCGAGAAATACATCTTTCATAAACATCGATTTTTTCATGAGAATGATGTGAGCATTATATTCTCTCATGCAAAGTCACATCCATTCTAGCAGCGAAGTCAGGACTTCGAGCTAGGGGAGGAGAGAGGGTTCAGCCCCCAGAACCGTTTTGGTCCATCTTAGGAAGTATAATTGTTTACGCAACCAGTGCAATTTTTTTTTCGCTTTTTCACACTTGGTTGGATATAGCGTGTCGAGCTGAGTAAGAATATATCAGTTTTTATATTTTTTCCAAAGTGCTGAAAGATCCATTTTCTTGAAAAAAATATTGAAAAAACTCATCTTTCAATGTTTTTTTCAATTTTAGAGAGCTTTTACATTTCTTCGGACTATGAAAATAATATATTTAGATTTATCGTGCAAAACTGCATCGATCTGGGTGGACCGACAATTGAGCCCCCGATATAGAGAAGAAATTAGAGAACACAAGAAAGTAATTTTACTTCAACAAAATAACATTTACATCAAAAACTAAACAGAGAGCGTGCTCTTTTAAAATACATTTCTCTTGTAATCAAATGTAAAGAAGATACTAGGCAGGATGTGGGTATTCTGGAGGATTTTATAACTGACATTTTGTAATAATAATAACAGATAAGTACACAAGCAAATGTGTTGATTACATAAATATGCGAAATATATTCCGAAAAGTTATTTGTTGTACTAAAGATGACTGGTTGAATCAAAGAAGGATATTCTAGCTGACCATTAGTACCATCAAAAGATTTCGCATATCTGTGTGCTTCACTTTAAAATTCATCTAACAAACAACATAAGAATTTTCTATGTTCTTTATTATCGTCTCTATATCGAGGGCTCAATTGTCGGGGAGCTCAACTGTCGGTGTACCATCGATCTGACCTCTTTTTTGGTATTCCTTAGTGAAAAATATGCTTGTAAAATGAAGAGATTCAAAAGTGAAAAAAAACATTAAAAGATGAGTTTTTCCTAATATTTTTTCAAAAAAATGGATCTTTCAGCACTTTGGAAAAAAATCGAAACTTATCAACAAAAATCTTTCGAAAAAAATATAAAAATTGATATATTCTTACTCAACTCGACGAGGTCGATGCGACCATGTGTGAAAAAGCCTTTTGCTTTAATTATGTATTGTTTGCACCTTACGTTATCGAATGAATGAAATATGATACTGAGAAATCTCTGAAATATAGATGAAGCTCATATTAAATGTGTTTTTAGTTGTTTAAAAACTACATATGATTTTCACACAATAAGTTATATCTCATAGAATATTCCACTACAGAGAATAAATAAGATTTTGTATCAGAAAAATATATTTTTCAAAATCTTGCTAGGGGGGGAGTCACTGAGCGCCATGCTCCCCTCCGCTCCACCACTGTTTTCATTTATAATTCAACTTCAACAAAAAAACAAACTCAAAGTTTCATTGAAAACTAATCTTTTCTTTTTTTCGTCGATAAAAAACAATTTTCTTCTTCTCCTTCTTCTTTCCATCAAAATCTTTTGTTTTCATTCTTTTCTAGAACCGAATTTGAACAAATGGAAACCAAATGGCATCACGGTGGCTGGTGGAAATGGACGAGGACAACAATTAAATCAATTAGATGCCCCTGTTCAAATCTCTATTGATAAAAACAAAAATATTTTCATTGTTGATAATATGAATAATCGTATTGTTGAATGGAGATATAATGCAAAAGAAGGAGAAATCATTGCAGGTGGAAATGGACAAGGAAATCAAATGAATCAATTGAGTTGGCCAACAAATATAATTGTTGATCAACAAATTCATTTGATTATCATTGCTGATTATGTGAACAGACGACTAATTCAATGGTTGAATCAGAATCAACAAATTCTCATTCGCAATATTGACTGTTACGGCTTGGCAATGGATAAATATGGATTCCTTTATGTTTCTGAATATATAAAGAATGAAGTGAGACGATGGAAAATGGGAGAATATAACAATGAAGGAATTGTAGTGGTAGGTGGAAATGGAGAAGGAAATCAACTGAATCAACTCAGTTATCCTAGTCATATCTTTGTTGATGAAGATCAATCTGTTTATGTATCAGATTGGAACAATCACCGTGTGATGAAATGGAGAAAAGATGCAAAAGAAGGAATAGTTGTGGCTGGAGGATGTGGTAAAGGAGTAGATCTCAACCAATTGTCTAAGCCTGAAGGAGTAATTGTTGATGATTTGGGTCAAATCTATGTGGCAGATTTTGGGAATCATCGAGTAATGCGTTGGTGTGAAGGAAAAGAAGAAGGTGAAA